GAGGATGGAAGTGGTGGTTCAGAAGAATTGTCAGAGTTAGTTGGCGGCAGCGGTGAGGAAGAGGCGGGCATGGGGATAAAGTTTGGTTCAGTTCGAGAGGTGCAGTTGATCAGAAGTTGTCCAACAAGTCCGATTCGAGCCTGGAATGTCCGTTGACTTCGAGGACACTTTGGAATCGGTTCTGCCGCGGCGTTGATTACTGGGTGAAGATGTGATTTGCGGGTTTCGCGTTTCGCTTTGGCGGCGGCTATGCGGTTGGCTTCGTGGATAGCAGCGTCCGTCTTCAATGTTCTCCTCCATGTCGGACGATCGCGGGCGAGCTCTTCCCAGTTGGTCGGGTTGATTTGCAGGCGCTTCAGGGAGGACTTCAGGGTACGAGAACCCGTCGCGACGTCGATGCCCCACCCTGATAACACGCAACGCGGGCGTGCCTGCAATCTGCACACAGGAAACGCTACCCAGCCAGCTCCCCCCTCTGCATAGGATCAGTAGATTTTAGTACAAATCAGTGCACCTAGAGTGGCGTGATCTGCTCGCGTCTGTCTCTTGGTTTTTGAATAATGACAGGTGCCCTAATGCAATGAGTGCAATGTTTGTTAGTCGAAATACAGAGCTGCAGCTTTTCAACCAGATCGCGGGGAATTTACCCGACATGTCAGTGTTGTGCCACACCTGAAGGTATAACCACTGTATAGTCTTAAATTGCCTACACGTCAGAACCGAGAGCCCCTTCAGCTTAGAGAATATATTTCCTAAAGTCTCACGCATCCACGTTGATTGAATTTTTAAACCTCGGTGCCACGGTGGGATTCGAACCCACGACAGCAAGGGTTTAACTATGTCAAGTAATCCATATCTCCTTATTTTGACTCGCAAGGCGCGCCTATTGCAGCTTGGGCGACTATTGTCGATATCTCCGTATTAAACTCAAGAACAAAGACGCGTTATTTTGATGCGGACATGAAATACTCGGCTTCTCGGTGGAGAAGTTTAATACGGCTAACGCTCTAGTCACACTTGTTAAGAGACTCCACCGGACGAAGCTAAATTAATCGTATCTGCCATGATACCTATGAATTACGTGAGACTCGTAGCCATCAGGTGAATTCTAGATGAATAAATTAGAAAATACTGCTTGGGAAATCAACTTACTTTATCAGATCTGGTGAATACCAGACCTTGAATTAGATCGGACGGGTAAACTTGATTTAGATATGATTAAACTCGCGTCGTCCGGTGGGGCCTCTTATATCAGGTGGCTAGACCGTTGGATATACTAAAGAGTCTTTTTGCTGTTGTGGGTTCGAATCCCATCAGTTAGGCTTAGGAGCAACCTCGGAGACTGAAACCACTTATTTTTCAGAAGTAAAGCATTCTTAACAGTGTCATTTTGATGTGATGAGATTCACTCGATAGCTTGGACGAAAATAAAGTTCACTTGAGCTTCCCGATCCCTTTTCGGCCAAGGACAGCAACAGACCGATGTTGTGGACGTACAGAGGGTGAAATTTTTATAAGCTGCAATTCCTATGCTATCATGCGGATGAATATAATCATAACGTCCGCATTCTCTTCAGCTTTTCGTAAATCGTTTGACGAT